TCCGCCTCAGCCTTCCAAGTAGCCGGAATTACAGGCATGCGCTACCACGCCCGGCTGATTTTTTGATTTATTGTTGAGATGAGGTCTCGCTGCCCAGGCGGGTCTCGAACCCACGGGCTCAGGCAATCCACTCACCTCAGCCTCCCAAAGGCGCGAGATTACAGGCTGAGCCACCGAGCCCGGCCTATGTAATGTTCTTTTAATGACAAAAAATTGCTGACAGTCTAAATCTACTCATACTGTGGAACATTACGTAGCTGTCAGAGAAAGTACATGTGTACATGCCATAAACTGACAAAGCCAAGTAGCAATACGTTTCATAATTGCTAAAAAGTAAGTAAGAACTATGACTATAGTATAGGTTATATTGTAGATATTATGCATCTACTATAGATGTATTTCAGAAATATGTATATTCCTAGTGCAAAATCTTTTTTTTTTTTTTTTGAGTTGGAGTCTCACTCTGTCGCCCAGACTGGAGTGTAGTAGCCGCTCCCGGCCACCGCCGCCTCAAGTTGCTGGGCTTCGGCAATCCTTCTGTCTCAGCCTTTTGAGCAGCTGGAATTACAGACATGCGCTACCGCGCCTGGCTGATTTTTTTGATTTATTGTAGAGATAAGGTCTCGCCAAGTTGCCCAGGCGGGTCTCAAACCTGTGGGCTCAGGCAATCCACTCACCTCAGCCTCCCAAAGGCGCGGGATTACAGGCTGAGCCACCGAGCCCAGCTCCTAGTGCATATCTTGAATAAACTGAGGGAGGAGTAGGTTTTAGGGCAGGGCCTGAAGACTTGTTCTTTAGACAAATATGTCTGAATTCTGATGTCAACCCGAGTTTGAGAATCCTGTAAATGTTGCCTGCCTTTCCCTTTTCTTTTCTCCAGAGCCTGGAAATTTACACTCCAGGATTCCAGGACAACAGTAAGTTGCTAGTGGGTGAAACTAGTAATGTGTTCACGGGTCTTATGTGGCAACTGGGTAGTCGGGGGGTGGGAAGGGGGTCGGGAAGATGTGGGGTTTTTGAGTGTCTAGCTGTGAGCGGGCCGGTAGTGCTGGGCAGGGTGCCTCTTGCCTGCAGTGCACAAGCTGACACACATTTGGCAGCAGGAGCCCTCCTCCCACAGTCATGCAGGTTCCAGTATTGTTGCCTAGAAATGTTCATTTTTCTCAGAGGCTGCAGCTCTTTGAATTCTGTGGTTTGCAATTGTGAGAAACCGAACTCACCTGTCCGAAATCAAAGGATGGACACAGAGATGTGGAGTGCAGCAGAAGCGAGACTTGAATGATGGTCTTGCAGTGGTTTCTGGTGGGCAGGCACACTGAAGCCGGTACAGCTAGCTTCTGGGTGCCCTAGAACGCACATCCCTCCCCTGTTTTCCCATAGGCTGGGTATTCCAGATGGTACATCACTTTCCTCAACGTCCCCTACATGGCATACTTCAATTGGGTCACATAATTAGTTCATCTGCATGTCCTATTTGTTGATTGGTTTGTAGAGCTGTCACATAATCTCTTCACTTACATGTCTGGTTTGCTGATTGGTTTATGCGGTCACTGCAAAATCCCTTCACTTACATGTCCTATTTGCTAATTAGTTTACAGGATTTCATTTTGATTGGTTCCCTCCCAAATTTAAACAAAAAAGGAGAAGAAGCAGGAGATGACTCAGCAAGGCATTTAAACATGGCTCAAGGTCCATTTTGAAAATGAATCATTGCATTTCTTGCACAGTGAAGGCTCTATAAGGGCCACAGGTTCTTCTGTGCCCGGGCTCCCAGCCTCATGAAGCAGGTGCTTTTGGGGCTTGCACTAGTTTCTCATCGCGTTTCAGGCCTTGGGGGGTCCCTGAGACGGTGAGCCCTGTTTATGGAGCCTTCTAGTGGCCATCTTGGGTCTGTCAGGAAGCAAGGCTTCCTCTGCTTACTTCTGCTGTCAGAGTTTTCATTCTTCAGATGGGTGTTTATTTTTTCCTTTATTTCTGTAAGGAAAAAAATGGTTAGATCACATTTACAAAATAATTTGTGCATGTAGGAAAAGAAAATAAAAAGGCTTAATAGCCAAACGTCAGTGTTTTCCTATTAACCTGGCAGTTCTTCCTCCTAAGCTGATTCTTGAGCTCCAGCTACTTTTCTTTCATGAAATTCCTTTTCACTTTTATTTTTATTTTTTTGAGTTGGAGTCTCACTCTGTTCTCTGAGCTGGAGTGCAGTGGCATGCTTACGGCCACCTCAGCCTCGACCTGCTGGGCTCAGGTGATCCTTTCACCTCAGCCTTCCAAGTAGCTGGAACTACGGGCATGCACCCCCATGCACAGCTAATTTTTTTACTTATTGGGGAGATGACGTCTCACCCTGTTGCCCAGGCTGATCTTGAGCCTGTGGGCTCAGGCAGTCTCGCCTCAGCCTCCCCAAGTGCTGAGATTACAGGTGTGAGCCACTGCACCTGGCAGATTTTTTTTAATGTGAAAAACAGACTGTAGAAGATACCTCTGACTGCTACATTTCAGGTGGTTGGATTTTTGTTTGGGAACAGGATTGTTGAGCACAGTGTAGCTTTCCTAAAGCGCTCTGGGTGATGGCCCTCCTGGCTATGAGAGTTCTCCTGCTGGAGGTTGAGTGACAGCTCCTGGCTGCTGCATTCAGAGGACACCAGAGGGGGCCTGCGGTTCCGCTCTACCTGGGAGGTTTCCCTCCTCAGCAAGCTGCACGTTTTGTCCTTTAACTTTTATTTGCTAAGTGAAAGGCCCACGTGTGCAGCATCATTGAGCCGGTGGGTACCTGGGCAGCTCCCTCGCCTTCATTCTCTCTCTCCTCGCAGGCGTTCGTGGGCTCTGCAGTCGTGACCGAGGAGACCGCCGTGGTGTCCTCCCCACCTCCGTACTCGGCCTATGCTGCACCAACCCCTGAGGTAGGCGAAGTAGCCTCTGGGCGAGGGAAGCTTGGAGTGTCTCTGCTGCTGTCCTGGTTTTTGTTTTTTTGAACCTTGAGCCAGTTTAGGTTTTCATTCATGTTCCGCACATTTTGTTTTAAAGATAGGCCTAGGGGCTGGGCGCAGTGGCTCACGCCTGTAATCCCAGCCCTTTGGGAGGCTGAGGTGAGAGGATTGCCTGAGCCCACGGGTTTGAGACCCGCCTGGGCAACTTGGCAAGACCTCATCTCTACAATAAAAAAAAAATTAGCCGGGCATGGTGGTGCATGTGTGTAGTTCCAGCTACTTGAAACGCTATGGCAGAAGGATTGCCTGAGCCCATTAGGTCGAGGCTGCAGTGGCCGGGAGTGTGCTACTGCACTCCAGCCTGGGTGACAGAAGGATACTCCAGCTCAGGAAAAACAACTTAAAAATGAGTTATGTTAAGGATAATTGCTTTGGGTAATGAGATTTTGATGATTTGTAGTTTATATATAATGAATTACTAGAATTATTTTTGTAATCAGAACAAATGCTATATTTTGGAGGAAAAAACTGTAACAAAATCATATGTCAAGTTGGGTGCCCCATTGTTAGGGGACTGTGTGTCTCATGGTACTTGCCTCAGTCTCTGTGGAGCACCCTGCTTTCCTTTTTTAACTTAACTTAAAAATGATCACATATGCACAAGTTGGTGGCCCCAGTTGTTAGTGTTCAGTAAAATTAAAAGCAGAAGTTTAGAATTGCTGCAGTGTTTATGTGTAAGCCTGTGTCATTTTATCATGTGCTGATTGCGTAGCTGCCTATCCAGATACAGCGTTCTTTGCACAGTCTCTGTCCCATCGCACCCTTTTGTGGCGTACCTTTCCCTAGCCCCTGTTGCCACAGGCCTCTCCTCTGTCTCCATAACCTTGTCTTTTCCACAGTGTCGTATAAACAGAGTCACACGCATTGCCTGAGTTAGATGTCACTCACTTGGCGTGTGCCCTTCAGGTCCGGGCATGTTGTGTGTGTGTCAGTAGTCCGTCCCTTTTTATTGCCGCGTAGCGTTCCACAGTTTGGCTGCACCGCAGTTGTACTGAGGGACATCTTGGTGGTTTACAGCTTTAGGCTGTTACCAGTTAGCCTATGGTAAACACTCACGTAGAGGTTGTTGTACAGACATGAGGTTTCCTTTCTCTGAGGTGAGTGGAATGATTGGGTAGTTTACGTGGTAAGTCTGTATTTGGTTTTTAACGAAACTGAGGAGCTCCTTTCCCACCAGCAGTGTGTGAGTGCTCCAGTTCCCCCCATCCTCACCTGCGGTTGGTGGTGTCACTATTTTTTATTTGAGCTGTTCTAACAGCTTGTGATCTCAATTTGCATTTCCCTAGTAGCGGGTGATGTTGACCATTTTCTCATGTGCCATTTGCCATCTCTGTGTTCAGTTTAGTGAAATTGAAATGTCTCTTCATGTCTTTTGCTCATTTGCCTAACTGCTATTTTTTAATGTTTAGTTTTGACTTTTTATTTGTATGTTTGAGATATGAATGCTTTGTTGATACAGGCTGAGTGCACCTTAAAATGCTTGGGATGAGAAGTCTTTCAGATTTCGACTTTCTTTGGATTTGGGAATATTTACATGTGCATAGTGAGATGTCTTGGGGATGGGACCTAAGTCTAAACACACAATTTGTTTGTGCTTTATTATACAAAGCCCAAAGGTCATTTTATACAATATTTTTAACAATTTTGAGCATGAAACAAAGCTTGTGTACATTGGATCATCAGAGACAGGCACCACCCTCATGTCAGCATTCAAAAAGTTTCAGATGTGGAAGCATTTCAGATTTTCAGCTTAGGGATACTCAACTTGTATGTGGCCTATAGCTTGTCTATTTATCCTTTAACAAGGTCTTTCACAGAGTTTTAAATTTTGATGTTTTTTTCTTTTCTGGATTGAAGATTTTCTCCCATGTTATCTGAAATTTTTATTGTCAGGTGTTACATTCAAGTCTGTGGTCCATTTTGAGTTAATTTGTTAATAAAATTTGTGTCTGCTTCTGAGTTCTGTTGTATGTGACTGTGTCTGGGTTCTTTGTTCCATTGATCCATCCCTTTATCTTCCTTTCATATCACCCAGTCTTAATTATTGTAGCTATATAATAAGTCTTGAAACTGGCTAGTCTGATTAACACCCCACCCTTTTT